ATTTTTAAAAAAAAAAAAAAAAAAAAATGTAAAGCCCACACCTGAAATGTAGTTGCACTTCTCACACAGATGGGCTTCTAAAAATATACGAGCCTCCTGAAATTTTTAAAAATATGTTCTTATGTGTACTTTTCCCACAGCTCGCCTCAGATTGTTTAAAAAATTTTTTTAAGTTACGAAAGACTTATCAAGTAAGTCAGAACATTCCTTCAATCTCTTAACACAAGGAAGGAAGATCAACTCCATCTCCCAAGAAAATGTCTATGGGCATTGGAAAAGGCCAAATGCTGGGTGAAAAGACCAAGCTTAATGGAAATTCAAGAAATCTAGATTTAACAATCATCATTTACATAATACTGGATTGTAAAAATTATTGTTAGTCCATCTAGCTCAAACAATTTTTATTCCCTAGCTATGTCAAAAACAGTAAGTGATACCAACATGGGAAAACCACCCTGTTATCTAGGATTTCACTACCCAATAGCTTTTCTTATAAACCATAACATAATATGATATGGTGTCCTACATACTATTGTATGTAAAATGATATTAAATTGTACTTCTGCACAACTCAAATACTTGTTAAACTCTAAGTATTTTCAAACTTCAGGGCTTATATACTGCTGAGAAAGACAAGTACATACAAAAATAAAACATAATTTGCTTCAAATCTTTTCCTGGAATAAGATGTGATTATCTGTAAAACCACAAACTGGGGTTTTTTTTTTGTTTTTTGGCAGCTGGCTGGTATGGGGATTCAAACCCATGACCCTGGTGTTACCAGCACCATGCTCTCCCAAGTGAGCTAAATGGCCAGACCCCAAATTGGGTTCTTATCAAAGTGCTGTGGAAGGAAAGAAGAAATACCTAACAGTAAGCAATGTGGGAGCATTAGGTGAATATAATTTTCTGTAAAGATGAAATAATTTGGAAAATGCCATTCCAGGAAACAGAACAAACAAAAACACAAAACACAAATGTGTTAAAAACTGAAATACTGCTCAAGTAACAAAACTGCAAGTATTTCAATATGGCAAGTACCAGGGTGGATGGAACTACTTGTAATAACACTGAAAAAAGGTTTGAGGGAGACTGAAATGCCAGATAATTCTATGGCATTTCATTCTATTCTACTGAATATTCACTATTTGGGAAGGAATGGTCCACACCAAAGCAAAAACTCTTAGCAGCATGAAAAAAGCAATTCCTAGAGAAGAAGTAATGAAATATTCTAATAGTGGAATGAAGAGCTAACCTGGGCATTAGCATTAGTGATGAAGAGGAAAGAAGAGATATATTTTAATAGAGATATATTTTCATAGCACCTTCCAGCACTTCATAGAACTCTGAATATAATAAGAATTCCATATTTAAAAATCTTTACTCTGGTTCCTATTAAATCTCACTGCAGAAGTACTGATTTTAAAGAGCTTCAGGTCAAAAAAACAAAAACAAAACAAACAAAATATATATATATATTCAGTCCAGAATCTAAGGTTTTATAATACAAGGGGCTTTTCCAGTACAGGGGAGTTAAGAGCAGAAGCTTTACAGTTATTCCTGGATTTTATCTTGACTACTACTTATCTGCATGACCTTGTGCCATTTATTTACCTAATCTCTGACTGCCTCAGTTTCTCTGCAAAAGGAGGACTATATATATCTAGTTACTGTCAGGATATAAAGTATTCAAGAGAATGCCTAGCACAGTTAACGCTCAATAAACATTAGCCATTATTTTAAAGAAAAGTAGTACTTAAAACTATTTTAATTCAACTATTGTAAATAAGGTCCCAGAAGGAAAGACAGGGTATTAGATACTCAAAAACATACCATGATAAGTGGAACTACATTTTTCCAAAAGGAAATCCCTGCTAGAAAACAAGAAAATCCTAACAATGCCTCCAGAGAGGCACTTAGAGTTGAGGTATAAGACCTGCTCTCAAAACTATAAATATGCTTGTTCTATTTCTGTTTTCATTCCTTTTATATACAATTTATATTCTCCAGCACACTATGTCAGTCAGATATCATCCATTAAATGACACAAAAGATGATACTTTTACCTGTATTTAGTCTATCAATTGGTCCGGTACGGACGCGACACTGAGGGTTGCGATCCGTTGCCGGTCATGAAAAAAAGACAAAAAGGAAAAAAAAAAAAAAAGACTATATCACTGAATTTTTTTTTTAAAACCTTTGGAATTGCTGGTGTTTGTTGCTCCTCCTCCTTTCTTATATGCATTACAACTGTACTATAAATAAAATTAGGATCAACATATGGGTAAATGTCCTTAAATTAATGCTAGAAATTGTCCAGTACATCAAATGACAGTCAAAAGGCAGTGAGATGTCATGAAATGTAAGTTGAGAACCACCACTAAATTTACTTTTCTCCTGCATAGATTATATACAAATCAACTTCTAGAAAATGGTTTTTTTTTAACCCATTTTAGCTCAGACTCCTTTGAGAACCAAGGTAGTGAAGTATACCACCTCAGGAGTGTGCATGACGAGGGTAATGAGTAAGGGTCACAGATCTGAAGCTCATCCGTGGGCCCCTCTATAAATCAACAAATGTCCGCCTTAAAAGATTTTTCTAGCTATAGTTTTGAAGACATGGTGGGCAGATAGAACCCTCTCCAAAGATTCTATAATCCAAATGCTATATTCCCTTGCAACACAATATTCAAACAAACAGAAAAGACTCATGAAATAAAACTCTTAGCATATTCCCAAAGAATTTCTCGAGTCTGACCCTATTCCAGAAGTTTTCACTTACTGAAATGCTCATCACAATTATTTTAGAACAAAATACCTGAACAGGCCTAAAAGGCTCATCAGATTCCTTCCACCTAGAAAACAGGAGACAGACAATTTTCTCGATATCATTCCGAGGCCAAAGAATGAAATCCATCTCCTGAGTACAGCCAATTACATCCTATAAAATGACAAAAAAAAAAAAAAAAAAAAAAAAAAAACTTAAAAAAAAAAAAAAAAGACTTAAACAAAGCTGTAACAATGTCACAAATTATAGGGTCAGACTATAGAAACATTTTACAAGCGCAAAAGACCCACCCTATATCAGTTTATATCTTAAGAAGTCACAGCAATAGGACTATATGTAATCTTAGTAGCTCGTGACCTAATTTTAATCTTGTAGACATGTAGTCACTCAGCCCAATATTCCTCACACCAAGACCTACATTCATCAGTACATGGTAAAAACTCCCAACTAAAGTTCTGATTTTTTGTTTTGTTTGTTGTTATGAATCCCTACACCTTTAATTCCACCCTCCAAAATCAGAACCTATTTAACAAAGGTGTCTTGGAACTTCTAATATGAACTATTTTCTTCTGAAATATTATGTTTTAATAGAAAACTACTTTTCTCCATTCTTGTTCCTTTTTCATTATAGCCAGCATATTAATTTTCAAAAGCCAATAAACCTCTTCCAGACTAGTACATGGTTATCTCCAGCCTTCCCCCTACAACTAATTATTCAAGTGTGTGTATGTATATAGATACACACATATATATTTATACACACACTCACTCTCTTTTGTTGAAGTATGCCCAGATTAACTTTCTCAATGTGTTGCAGAATCTTAGAAGGCTGGCAACAATAATACCCTCTTACTTTAAGTTTCTGATTTATAAAAGGGCATGATGTTATTCCTCCCTCCAAAGAGGGAAACCAAATGAACATAACATTATTCACAATAATAATGTATACCTTTATTTACATAACACCACATAAGCAAAGTTATCCATGTTTCATCTGAAGTCACTTTTTGAAAAACAAACTTCTTTAGGAATTTAAAAGCAATTTTATACACAGCACTTAAGTTACTAAAAAGTAATGAGCACCTAGCATGGATTAAAGGAATCCTTCTACATATTTTATAAGAATACTCTGGGGCAAAAACTACATTTTTCTAACCCTATAAACACAGTACATGTTTAAAGTCTCATAAAGCATGAACCCAGTTATTAATACAGCACGAAGACATTATTTATCTAAAAGAGATCTATCACCATAGTAACTACCCATTTTTAGGGGAGAAAAATGCAAGCTTAACCTAAAAAAAACTTACCTACCAAGTCAAGACTTAAAAACAGAACTTACTCTTCTCATAGACTGGTATCGAGGAGCATGGAGCTGTACCACATCCTTCTGTAAAAGCTCTATGGAACTTTCCAAGGAATAGCTGGAATCTCGCACACCTTTCAGGATATTTTCTTCATAATTATTTGTCATGACTGGTATAACCTCAGACACTTCAAAAAGTGCTGATTTTTTCTTCTAAAAAGTAAAAAAAAAAAAAAAAAGACGTATTAACCCACTGGGAGAACACTATTTTTTAACTCTCAGTTCATATTACAATGTCAAGTACCTTTATTCTAACTCAGCAAAATTCTTAACTGTCTGAAGTAATTTTGATACTGAAAACACAGATTTTCAGATAGGCGGCTCCTTCTTTTCTTCCCCCACCAACCCCTCAACAACACACAAACAGGCTGTTATCAGAATGCTTAACTTCTCAATTTTATAGCATTATGGTATCCATAACAAGTACTTATTTAAGACAGTTATATTTCTCTAATTTGTTTGTGAGGAACAAACACCAGCAATTCCAAAGGTTTTAAAAAAAAATTCAGTGATATAGTCTTGACATGTTTAATTTAACTGGTTCTACAAAGAGCTAAATTAAAATCTCACCAGTTTATTTTTTGGCAGCTGGCCGGTAGGGGGATCCAAACCCTTGACCTTGGTGTTACCAGCCTCATACTCTCAGAACTGAGTCACTGGCCACCAGTTTAAAAACAAAGCTATTCAAATTATTTTATTCCTTAAATGGGTCAATTTTCATTACTCTTTCTGGGTATCATATAACTACAGATGTCAATATTTGAAATAAGAAAAAAATGTACAGCAAATTGTGTTTCAAAATTAGTTAAGACCAAGTGCTCATCAACAACCTAGCTTATAAAATTCTGTACTATAGAGTACAGATCATTAACTATTAGGGCAAATGCACGCACACTGTCCATTTTTAGAATAAAACAAGATTTTTCACAGGTGTTTAAAGAACTAGATGGTACAATTTGGGGCATGTTATAGATCGAATACAAAAATCCAGTCTCGCCATTTATGTCTTGGATTTAGAGAGCCTACACTATAATAAATGATCCTATTAATTTTGCAGTTAACTTGTTAAAAAAAAAAAAAGGCATGAGAAAATGGGGAATGAAATCCTTGATACTATCCAATCTTGGGAAAATCGCTTCAAAACAAATAACTCTTAAACAACTTTACAATGCTATATATTCTAGCAGCTAAAAGTGTTCTTAAATACAAACAACTTTTGAATTAAGTAACACCCTAGGAAACTTCCAAATACTAAATAGATAACACTAAGATTACATTTCTGATCTGAAATTAGGTCACAATTTAAGTGCAAAAACCAAAGTAGCATTTCCTTATATTCATAAGCTAATCTCATATAAAATAGCCTTGTTGATAATTAAAGAAACTGTCCATTTTAAGTGGCAAAAAAATACTGCTTTTATCATATTCTCCATGACCATTCACAATTCATTACTGCTACTTAACTGTGGAACTAATTCTGATTGAAACAAAAAAAATGAAACTTCCTCTTTAGGTCATTTTGAATTTTAAAAAATTGCACTTCTGAATACCAATTAGCCATTTCGGTATTTAATTGCTTCTAAATATTAGACTGTACTCTATTTCATTAAATGTAACATGAGAAAAGGTACCTGTATCATGGAGTTGAAGTAACAGGCTGATTTTAGCATACAAACATTTTGATTCCAACTTAACACTTTGAAACACCCTATTTATACTTTACATTAGATAATCTTTAAATTCAGTTATAAAGTTCCCTATATAATGCCACATAAGTTGAAGTTTTACAATGCTGCCCCATGTCTACCAAAAGTGGATCCTATTAAGCTTTACAATTAAATATTTTCAAACCAGTAAATATTCAAGGAACTTCCAATTCAGTTGCACTGCAACTACTCAATTCAGACTCACCCAAAAGGGTGAAAAAGCATACAAAGTGGACTTTCTTCAACCACTGTTAACACTGATATTCATATTTAAGAATAACAAATAATATACACTTACAAAAATTACTTGTGCTAATTCACATTAAGAACTTCAAATTACCTTCTCCTTGAATACAAAGGCAATATACATCTTGAAGTCAAACTGGTCAGCTAGAGATTCTTTTTTCTTTCTAAGCTGAGCACGTAGTCTGTTCAGAGCTTGTTTCTTCCGGGAGTTTGGGTCCCCCATTTTGAAATACAGGTGGTACTAAAGCCTTTGGAAATTGTCACTAACCTATGGGCACTTTTTCTTAAGACTCAAGTACAACAGAAACAAGTCATTTTTTTTTTCCTGCTAATATGAATAGCTAAAATCACGACTGTAACCCAAAAACTGCACCTTCTGGCAATATTAGCAGACTGTCATACTACAGGGTCAAGAAACAAAAGCTGCTGTCCAGTCATGTTTGGACTATAACGTTTAGGGTAAGATTGGAAAAAGAAAGGGAAAGAAGGAAAGAAAGAGGAGAAAATACTTGAACTAATTTTCTGGAAAACCCATTTGGCTTAACTGCCAAGATAAAGGCTTTGGGGGGAACTGAAAGCCTATTATCAGGATTTAGGTGTGCAATAAAATACAGCTGACACCAGTCCAATCCTTAAAATCCATCCGGATTTCTCCCCCTTTTTAGAAAAGGTTAGGAACAGGGAGGGGGAAGTATGATCCTTGCTTTTCAAAGGCAACAAAACAAAACAAAACAAAAAACAAAACAAAAAAACACCAAAACAGGGTAGGTGAATGAAACTGAAATACCCAATTGGATTTTACCCAGCCAGATCCATGGCTGTAATACCTAATTAATTCTTAGTTATTTCAGATTTCACTATTGCTATGTATTGTCAGTGCTTGTTATTGATTACACTTGGTGGTGAGCAAAGAGAAAAGTGCAAAATCGGTAGAGCAGGAAGGGGAAAGGTACAGGGTTTCCCTGCAATCAACTACAGTGTATACCGGGGGCGGGCAGCTGTTGCCCAAAGGAGCCATGAGAAAAAACAGCGGAGTCATTATCAACTTCCCCATCACCCACATTTTCACCCTCAGGCGGCTGCTAATGCTGCTGCCAAGGAGAACCATGATGGCAGAGGGAAAGGGGGTATACAATACGGTATTAATTATTCCGGCTCTGTGGTTAGGCCTGATTAATGCCCGGGATCCCAACACCCCCAGCCTCGCAATGAGACTTACATTCCCCAAAGGAACCTTCTCTATGAATTTGCCCCCGTTCAAGATGGTGGGGAGTGCGATTTATCTTCTTGTGAGCATTGCTGAGGCAAAGGTGGCGGGTTTTTCCCCCAAATCCGAGGCAGTGCCCGGGGAACCACCTGCCTTCCACCCCCCACAGATCCCACCCCCACCCTCTGCCTTCAGCGGCAGCGACTCACTCGCACCACGGGAGACACAGGATCACTCAGGTTTTCACTCATTTCATCGTGGAAACAATTCCCGCCCGGGTAGAGGCGGCGGGAGAGGGTAAATAGGAAGGATCAGTAGGAAAAAAAGAAAATACGTGAGTTAATATTAATTACTTTTCAAAGTAAGCCCACCCACCCCCAAAAAAGAATTAAGTTCCCGGATTCCGGATTAGCTCTCTCTCACGTTGAACAGACCATGTTTCCAGAGTTTGGATTGTTTAGGGTGGGGTCGTTAGTTTGTTTCCCGAAGGGGCAGGGGGTGGAATCGAGGCGGCCGGAGCGGGTTGGGGGATGGGAAAATCCCCTCCCTGTCCCCGCGGAGACCGAGACTCACGGACCGACTCTCGGGCGGGGTTCAGGCCCTCTAGCCGCAGCCTGCGGGCGGAGCGGTGGCGGCGGCGGAAGAGACGGCGGCGGCGGGGGCGCTGCTCGCAGCACGGGCAGGAGCCATGTCAAGAGAAAACCACCAGCCAACTGAGCCCCTCCATCCCCGCTGCAGTGCGCACTGTGACCGGGCCGCCCGCGCTGCTGCCGCCGCTCAGCCCCCACCTGGAACCCATAGTCTGGCTCGGCGCCCCGGGCAGCGACGGAAGGGAAGGACGCGGAGGCAGCGGTGACGGATAGAAAGAGAAAAGGAGGAAAAACGAGGAGAAAGAGGGGAGGTTGGATTGGTACTGGCAGCGGTGGGGGAGGGGGAAAAAGGGGAAGGAAGCCCTGCGCTAAGGAGTCTGTCAGCGAAGTAAACCCCCCAAAATAAAGTTATTTCAGTTCATGCATCTGCTCTTGAGTCTTTCTTCCCCCCACAGTCGAGTTCCGGCTCTCAGGAAAGAAGGTCGAGGAGACCCAGAGGGGGAAAAAGCCGAAGCGGATGATGAGCGTCCGCGGTGGTACAGCCTCGTTCCCCGCCACCGGTGGCTGCGGAAAGCGGCGGCCACGGGCGCCTCCCGGTCCGGGGCAGAGTCGCGTTTGAGAAAAGCAGCAAGAACAAACAACTTAAAATGGCAGCGACGGCCGCTGCGTCACCCGCCCCTCACCGGCACCGCCCCGAGACCTCTGCGGCTGCGCGCCGTGTGGACCTCTCCCATCTTCGTAAGAACAAAGGGGGACATAGGATTGGAAGCAGGAAGGTTTTCAAGGTTATCAAGAAAAGAGGAAAAAAAGATTAAAAGGAGGAGATATGAACAAGACTTTAAAAGGGTGAGTTTTTGAAATTAAACTTCCATGTAATATTCGCGCCTCAAAGGGGAGTTCGAAAATAGAGACTACCCTCTCTTCCAATATGGAGTTCCCATGGGGCATGGAAAGGGAGGCTCCCAGCCACTCCCTCCGCCCCCCTCCATCAGGATGGCCCGGTCTCTGGAGTTGGCTCCTCGCCCCGCCTCCACTGACGTCACAAGCCACGCCCTTATGTGCTCCCAACGAGGCACCCGGATGGACTCGCTCTTGCTGGGTCTCTCAGCCGTTCAGATTCCGGCTGTGCGAGGGACGTAATCGTTCTACTCCGCTAGGAGCGCGGGGTGTGGTCGAGGTGGGGGCGGAGTGAAGAAGGAAAAAGAAAGTGTATATTGGAAGATTAGGGAAGTGAAATGAGAATTTCACTTCGTTATCGCTGGTCATCCTTCTGGGGGGTCTGCCCCGCGCTATGTTGCGGCAACAAACTGAGAATTTATTTCCAATTCCTGGGATTTAAACAGTGTACTGCAGAAAATGTCTCACGATGGTCCCGCGTGGCTTTCTGTCCCCACCCCGCCACGTGCGCTGGCACGGAGGACGGTCTTAAAGCTTTGAACAAGGTCAAAGACGCCTTTCAGGCGTTGCTCCTGTGACTTAGGGGAGAGGCAGCCGAACCTGACCCGTAGATTTTTTTTTCCCTCGCAGTCAGAGCACACTTTTTATTAGGATGCCGCAGGACCTCACACCTACATCCTGAACCTTAATGTAGTTCTCTGCCTTCCTCAAAATGTAAAGATGGGACGAGGAACGTTTGCCGCTGAATCGCAGTCCTTGGTACCAAAGAGTTTAGTCCATTTTAGTTTCAGCTCTAACATGCTGATAAAAATGCAGTTATATAAATAATCAGCAAACAGCAATAGGCCACATATGCATAGCCTATGTACTTAGGGCTGCTCTCTATGATGAGATTTTAGAAGTTTACTGGACCTCCAAATTATTGCCTTTCACTTTGTGAAATCAAAATAGGTGAACTGTAATAACATTTTTCTCACCCATGAGCCAAAAGAATAACTGGGGCCCACACTTCAATATAAATTGTTGTCCAGAACCAAAGGATGACATTCTTGAGGTTCCCAAATTATTTCTAATCTTGAAGGATAAAGCTTGCATTTTACTAGTGCATTGCTGATTTCTTTTCACAATCACACTATAACTGGTGTCGAAAGCACACATGGGTAAAATTTAAGATTTCACATAGTTTATGGCCTGGTTTAAAAAAGAAAGATATACCTTGTACCGGTCAGTCACCAAAAAAAATAAAACAGGCCAGAAAAAGATATAGATATATATAAAAAATTAGCACCAGTTGATGTGTTTTTGACCTGGCCCTGATTTGTATCCATGATCATCTTTATGGAATAAGTTTTTTAATAACAGCTTTATTGAAATATATTTCACATACCATATTATTTATCTTTTTGAAGTGTACGACCCAGTGGTTTTTAATATATTCACAGAGTTGTGCAACCATCATATTAGCATCACCCCGATAACAGTCATTCGTCTTCCTCTCTCCCAGCCCTAGGCAACCACTAATTTATGTTCTGTCTCTACAGATTTGCCTTTTCTACAATTTCATATAAATGGAATCATTCAATATGCGGTCTTTTGTGACTGGCTTCTTTCCTTAGCTTAATGTTTACAAGGTTCATCCATGTTGCAGCATGTATCAATACTTAATTCTTTTTGGGCCGGCCCGTGGCTCACTCGGGAGAGTGTGGTGCTGATAACACCAAGGCCCCAGGTTCAGATCCCATATAGG